CTTGGACTAGATTGGTGAGTGAGAATTAGAATATTCAGCACAGAAGAAGATTGATGGTATTGGAACGGGAACTCCGTTCTCTTACCCTTTTATGCTCTCACCCTCTCACCCTCTCTCCCTCTCTCCTCTCTCAGGCCTGCTCTGAGCTGTGGCTGGCAGCTCCCAGCAGGGCCCTGCACCCAGGCCCTTTGCAATAAACCCCAAGTTCCAGCCCTGGCTGCAGAGATCTCTGCTCTCTGTCCATCCTGACCGTGCTACCCCTGACACTCCTACACTGGGGGACACCAGCAGGGGCAGGGCCATGCTCACCCAGGGTTTGAAGCACAGCAAAGCCTCTGCTCCCTACATGGCACCTCCAGCTGCTGGGCCAGGAGCGCTGTCCCTGTGTCCTGCTGGCCTCACCACCAGCACCTGGCTTGTCCTTGTCCTTGCCCTGGCTGGCAGTGGGGAGTGTGGCTCCAGATTTCCCTTTCATCTCATCAGGGCCTGCTGGATTTAATTCCCTGCACTTCAGTACAAAGCAAGGGTCCTATCCAGAAAGCAATTTGTGTTTCTCAGAGCAGGTAGTCAAAACCTTTCCCATTAAAATGTAAATTTAGCCGTATTTTCTGGCATCATCTCTTTTCTTTCCTTAAGTTAAGAGGAATATGAACCTGTATTATTTTTTCCATCAACAACATCTTCCCCTCGGTTTTGTTTTAAGGAAAAAAGCTGCCTGATATACACCTTTAGCAAATTAAATTTGAATTGAGTCTGACAGCACAACAGGGATCCAGATTACAGAGAGATGTCCTGGCCTAATTGGAGTCATTGCCAAGAAGATTTTTGCAGAGTGTTAACCACAGAGGGCACAAGGAGAGCAAACATGGTCTGCACCAAATGCTCATCTCAGCAGCATTCCCAGCTGGCTGCAGGACCAGCAGCACCTTGGTGGTGTCTCTCAGGAACATCCTGGATGCTGAGTTTAGTTTTACTGCAATCCCAGCCACGCTCAGCCAGGCACCACAGAGCCCCACTGGCCACTCCCTCTGCCAGCCCTGGGCTCCCACGTCAGCCAGGTGTGGTGGCTCCTGCCCCACATCCATCCATCCATCCATCCATCCATCCATCCATCCATCCATCCATCCATCCATCCATCCATCCATCCGTGCTCCATCATCAATCCATCAATTTCTGCCCCACGATCCATCTCTATCCCAGCTCCATCCCTGCCCCACCACCATCCATCCTTGTTCCACCTCCATTCCTGCTCCACCATCGATCCCTGCTCCACCTCCATCCATCCATCCATCCATCCATCCATCCATCCATCCATCCATCCATCCATCCATCCATCCATCCATCCATCCATCCATCCCTGTCCCTCCTCCAATCTCCTCACAGCTGCAGAGGGGAATGGATGTCTGGGAACCAGCAGAGGATTTTGGCCAGACATGCTCAGAATAATGAAACCAACTGTCCTGCTCACTGCAGGTTTTAAAAGATGATGTTTCATGATTAAAACCCCAAATCTCTGTGAACTCACCATTTCTTTTGCTTTCAGACACCTGGAGGCAAGGAAGGGCTCTCTCCACACCTGGGGAAGGCTGTCAACATTTGAAGGATGTTCAGAGGACACAACTACACAGCAAAGAAGAAAACCTGAAAATTCCCCTCTGCCCACGTTGGGCAGGTAACTACCACAAGCCTGGGAGCTCCTCATTCCCCAGAAATCCCAAAATCTCATCCAATCAATCTGTGGCTGATGACAACTTGCACCTGACAGAGCTGCAGCCAGGCCACCCCCAGCCCCTGTGAGCAGAGTGAAAGGGGATCATCACCCCAGGCCCTGGGGAGAGTGGGCTCATCAGTAAAAGTGAATGGTTTAATTACCAAGGGGGATCTGATCCGGTGCTTTCCCTGCCCTGGGGACCAAGGTGCTCCCTATGGCTTTCCTGCTGTGCCCCTGGAGCCCAGCACATCTTGGACTGCAATGGAATGCTCTGGAATGCTCTGTCCCACAGCAGCAAGTGAATCAGCAGCCTCAGCCAGCATTAATTATGCAGAGAATAATTTGCTGGTAAGGAAAAAAAAAAAAAAGTTCTAATTTAATTTAATCAAAATTAAATTAATAGTTAATTTAACAATTCCACAGTGAAAAGCCCTTGACCTCTGGACTTCTCCTCCCTCCTATGGCTCCTGCAGTGGTGACATCCCCTGGCACCCCAACATTTCCCCACCTCAGCCTGCTCTGCCCAGGGCCCCCTCCCCAGGGACTCCCTGCAGCCATCCCCAGGGTGGGTGAAAAGGGAAAAATGGAGAAGAGGTGGATGTACACAGACCATGTTAGCTTTAAGCCCCTGAAAAATTCCAGCACAAATAAATATTTTTTTAAGGAACTGGAAAATAGGAAGAAGAGCAGCCAGGCAGAACATCCTCCAGAAAAGGGAGCTGAGAACAAATCTGACCAATGTACCTGGGGTGACCTGGAAGAGGGACTGCTGTCTGAGGAAACAGACTCTCCAGGTGACCTCAAGGTCCCTTCTGCTTATATTATCTACACTTCTACAGACTAATTCCTTAAATCAGTATTAATAATTAATTAATTAATTCCTTAAACCAGCAGGGCAGGCTGGGCTTCATCTGGAAGCATCCCCCCAGGCAGTGGGCTATTTCCTAGTCAAGGCATTACAAGAAAATAAACCAGAAGAAGATTAACATAAATATTGTTTGAGAGACTTAATTAACTGCAAATTGCAATTTTGTGTTTCCAGCTTAATTAGCATGAGTCTGGTTTTCATTGTATTGGGAAGCAGAATGAGGGCAGTAGCAGCAGCATCACAGATCTGTGTAGTGAGGGAGGAAAACCTCTCTCTGCTTAGGGCTCTTGGATGCCTCAGACATTTGCTGGATTTCTCCTAAACTTAAGCTGCCAGCAACCAGGAGACAGGACATTCTTAGAGCCCCAAAGGCCACTTTTCATCTGACACCCAGACCCTGAGGAAATGACTTCTTTTTCCTATGGAAAATGGGCTTCATTTGTGGCCACTTGCCCTGGCAGATCGTGTGGTGCAAAGCTTGTAATTAGCAAATTTTGCTGGATTTCTCTGTCTTGGTTTGGAAAGCCAGGAGTCTGCTAAGGAAGACAGGAGCCTCCCCTAAAATGGAGAATGTAAACCCTCCCCATCCCTCTGAATTGCTGTAAATTTTAAATTAAGGGGCTCTCAGGCAAAAATATGGGAGCAGGAAATAACAGTTCTTTATTAGGAAAGAAAATAAAAGGATAAAATAAAGAATGCAGTGAACTAAAGCAACAGTGGCAGAGTCAGAACCCAGCCTGACACCCTGTGGGTCAGGCTGGTGGCAGCAGAACCATTGGAATTGTGGCTCAGCCCTCCTGCAGTGCCAGGGCTGGTTCTGCTGGAGCAGGGATCCTGGAGAAAGGTGCAGTCTCTGCCTCTGCAGATCCAGGGCAAGAGGCAGCTGCTGTTCCTCTGGGCAATGCAGTGCAGAAGCCGTGCTGGAGTTCCAGAATCTCCAGATTCTATCCGGGTAGGAATGCTTGGCTCCTCCCTCTGGGCTCCCATCTGCCAATGGGATGCTGTAGTTCTTATCAGCCATGCAGGGACATTCCATAGCTGTTATCAGCAGTGTCCCCTCCTGAGGGAGGAGTGAATGTGGTCACTGAGAGAGAGATAAGGCAAACTGCCCACTTGACAAAAGACAACTGCCATAGAGATGGTAATAGAACACATCCTGCCTTGCAATCTGGAACATTCTCCAAAATTAAAGCTGCCAGCAGCATCCCCACCAGCTCCAGCAGGGCTGGAAAGGGGCAGACACCAAGCAGCTCCACCTCCAACACCAGCTCTGGCCCAGGCAGCCTGGCCTGGTGCTGCTTCTTTGCTCCATGGGTTTGAACTGGCTCTGCTATGAGATCCTTCAGATGCATTTCTGTTTGCTAATTGAAATGCAAACCATGTATCTCCTGCTCTGAGTGCTCACAACAATGTGATTTCCACAAGGGCTGCAAGGGTCACCCTGTTCTGGGAAGGTTTGTGAGGGTGTTTTTTTCCTGCCTGGCATATTTCCAGAGGTACCTGCCCACTCCAGCAGCAGCTGTGTCTGATCCCCCTGTCCCAGCTGGGCTGGGCTGTATTTTCACTGTGTCCCCAGACAGGTCACTGTGTCCTGGTGTCACCACAGGTCCCAGCACCACGTCCCTGCTCCCAGCACACCACAGTCACTCGGTGTAGCAGCAGGGTCCCAGTTTGGGAAGTACCAAGGGCACCTGAACAAGCAAGAAATCCTGGGTTTGCTGTGTGCTGGCACATTCCAGAGGTGCTGACAGTGCCCTGACCCTGACACACAGGCTTGTCACCTCAGCTGGTGCCAAGCTGACAGCACTGTGCCCCACAGCCAGCCAGAGGAAAGAGGAAAGAGGGAATTTATAGTGCCTGCAGTTTCTGCAAGGCAACAGCACTGGCCTCTTCACCCCTGCCTGATGCATGGCTCATCCTCTTGTGCTGCTGGTACAAATAAAGCTGTCACTCGCAGGGACACTGAGCACTGGCAGCAGGGACATGAGCAGAGGCACCAGCTGAGATGGTGACACATTTCCCCAGTTCTCTGCCCACAAATGCCACTGCAGGCTGTGCCAGGATGAGGCTCTGGGCACCCCAGAGCAGCCACCAGAGCCAGCCCCATTCAGGCAGGGCAGCTCTTCCTCAGGGCTGTGCCTCACCTGGGGAGCATCACACCCAGCTGTGGGAAAGGAGCCCTGCCAGGCTCAGCTCCTCTGCATGTTCCAGGCTCCCCAAGGAGAGCAGGAGGAGGAGGAGCTGCAGCAGCAGAGCCCCCAGGGCCCTCGAGACACTGGGAAAAACCATCCCAGTGCAGGCTGGGCACCCCACACACATCCCAGGGGCAGAGCTGCTCCCCCAGCACAGGATCCTGGCCCCACACCACCCCCTCCTCCCTTCCCAGAGACTGCACTTGTCAATCAATGATCAATACCAGTGGACATTTTCATCCATTCCCTGTTTCCTTCAGCTTAGCACCATTTCAGAGCAAAACCAAAAGGGAATTCTACATTTAAATGAAGGAAGATCATCACACCACGAGCTTATTTCATTCTCTGCATGAGGAGGAAGCAGGTTGTTCTGAGCAGCTCTAGCCTGGGGTATCTGAACACTGAATTTTCAGAAGCACTGACAGTTTAATCTCAGGAGGAGGTTCTGATCACATTTAGGACAGAGAACAGCACATCTGTAACACTTTCAGAGCTCCAAACTCTCCATGCCTGCTTTCCTTCCAGTGCAGGTGGCACAGGGTGAGCTCTGGGGCACACAGGGCCTTCCCCACACCGCCCTGACAACAGTTTAACTTTTCACTGTATGCACAAAGCCTGACCAGGGTAACAGAACAGACATTTGGGAACAGTACAGCAGCACAAAAAAGGTCCAAAAGGGTTTTCCAGTCTTTTAATATTTTTTAAATTTACCTTGACATAACCCATTGACCTTATTAAACAAGGCCACGATCACCCAGTCCTGAGTGCACAGGCACACAGTGCCCAGCTCCACCAGCTCCCAGGCCCAAGGGTTAGGAGGATTCTGGTTCCAAGCCATACTTCTTCTTCAGGATTTCAACTGTGGGTGTCAGTGCACTGCAAGGAGAAACAGAGCCATGAGAACAAAGGTTTGGAGCATTAAAAGTGCATTTTTTGGGGAGGAGCAGTCAGCAACGATTGCACTTAAGAGCCAAGGAGAGCACAAACTGCAGAAACCACAGCTTCACACAGAGCCTGTGAGAAAGGGGAATCTGAGAGCTCCTGAGGACTTCTGTGTGTTCATAATTAGGTTAACACTAATGAGAAGGTGGAACTGCTGTGGGAAGTGAAGCAAAGCAAAGTAAACAAAGCAAGGTAATGCATGTCCCACCCCAATCCAAAAGCTTTGTTTTGTTTAAAGCAAAGGAATAGCCCCAGCTACACTCACCAGCCAGGCCTGATGATGGAGAATTTCCCTGACACAGACAAGTCAACCACAGTTGAGCCCAAGCGACACTCTGGGCTCTGGATGTCTCCTATGGGGCCTCCATCAACGACCAGGGACAGCTGAGGCCACAAGTCCTGGAATTCCTGCAGGAGAGCCGTGGGTAACAATCCTGCCAGCAGCTTGTACCATTTAAATAAAAATACAGCAGCAGAGCAACCCTTGGCTTATTGCTAAAGCTCAGCTGAGAGAGCCTGGGGCTCTGCCAAAGCCAGGGAGATGCCAGAGGGGGGAAGGAGCCTCACCAGCACGCTCAGGGTGCTGCCCTGGGAGCTGATGTTGGCGCTCGTCAGGGCCAGCGGGCCCGGGCAGGCCCGAGCCAGGTCTCTCATGAAGGGGTGGTCTGGAATGCGGACACCAACCAGCTGCAGGGAGGGACAGGAGAGTTACACACACACAAACTGCCTTCAATACTGCCTAAAGCTCGCTGGGCTTAAAGCTGGAACTCTGGAGAACTGACAGATCTGCATCTGCTGGAGCTGTGGTAACACATGGCTTAAATCAGGCCCCACGTCCAGGTCAGTCCTGGGGGGCAGGACACCACAGGGACCACTTCTGGGGACAGCTGAGTGTTGTCATCCTATTGCAGGGGTTCCATTCTGTTGCCTGCTTATCACAAAAGTTTCACACCTTCTTGTGTTTCTCGTGGGCAGCTCCTCAGAGCTCTGACTCTTTCTTCTTCACAAAGCAACCACTGATTCCAGTTCCCTTCTCAACCTGCCAGCAATCCCTGCCCCACCTCCATCCATCCCTGTCCCACCATCTATCCCCCATCCATCATCCATCTGGGTGTTTTGTATCTCTTGGTCTTCTCTGGTATTGTTCTTTATGTAAGAAACTTCAAAACTTGCATTTTCCTGTGCCCTTTGTACCATGGCAGAGGTTTCATAAGTAAAAAGGTTAAAATTCAACACATGGTTCTACAGGCTAAACTTTAACTGCTTAATTCATATTGCTAATTCGAGTGAACTCCAAAAATCTCTATTTCACTCCATTCATCCATCCTTCCTTCCTTCCTTCCTTTATGGCACTCTTCTTCTCACTGGTTACAGCTGTGACCTGTTCAAGTCAGGCCTGTTCCTGATCTTTGATAGGAGATATTTGATAGCTGCATCCAGCTGCAGCTCCTTAGGGCTAAGATTACTTTACACCCTATTTTTATTTTCTTATATTCTATCCCCCTACAGCTAAGGACAAACAGCAGCAGCACAAAGCCAGCCCCCTGCCCCCAATCCTGCAGCCATCACCCACCGATGTGAAGGGGTTCAGGTCCTTATTGAGCTCCTCTGAACGCTCCAACACCAGGGTCACTGGTCCTGGCAGCAGGTCCCGCAGCAGCTCCTCGGGGACATTGACGTGGCAGTACCTGCAGGGGCAGGGACAGCGGCATCAGGGCGGGCACAGGGAGCAGCTCTCATCTGTCATGAGTAGAAAAGTTGCCCATTTTTTTAAAAAGGCTGCAGAGTTCACAGGTTGGGCTAGTTTGGTGCCAGGGTGGAGTTCTAACTGTTTGTTGTTGTAATCACCTGTGGTTTTCATTAACTATTGTCAGAGCTCAGTGCATCCCTCTGGGTGTCCAGAGTTGCCAAGGACCCTGCTGGGGGTCAGAGACCCTGGCACACAGCCCAGAGCACCTGGGGATTTGATTGTGACCCCTGGAGCAAGTTGCCAGCTTTGTATGAGGACCTGAAAGTCACACAGGTTTGAATAGTGTAATAATAAAATGATCACAGAGTGAAAATGTAGATTTTAGGATTTTTGGTGTGGGGGTTATGGGGACAAGATGGAGGAATCTGGGCGTGTCCAGCCTTTCTCCTTCTTCTTCTTGTTCTCCATTTTCTGCAGTGATGTTGGCACTTTGGGATTGGTTTAGAGTAGAAGTGCACTGTCTAACACAGGTGATGGGTATTGGGAATTAAGTGTAAATATGTTCTATGTAGTTTGTAGTATAAAAGGACAACACCACCCTTGGGACGGTCACAGTGCCTGTGGCTGCCCTGCTGAGCAGAAAGAAAATTTTATAGATAAGAATTAATAAACAACCTCAAGACCGAAAAGTGAAGAGCTCAGACTCATTCTTCAGCTGCATGGGCTGAGGCAGAGACATCCTGCACATCTCAGGGCAGCAATTATCAACAGCAACCCGAGAAACTATCTGTTGTTGATGGTTGGGAATTCCCTTTTTTGTCGAGTGGCACCCTGCTGCTTCCCGGAGGACGGTGAAGAGGAAGGGACATAAGGGCTGGCATGCAAATAGAGAAGCCCCTCACCAAACCTAACAAAAAACCCCTAAGAACAAAGAGCCAACACGGAACTGAGGGATCGAAGTGATGTCTAGACGCGAGGAACAGAATCCAGTGTCCGCTGAGATCCTTTTTACCCCTCCCCCTAACCTAAAAAGATGTCGGCCAGACAGAGGGCCTTGAATGTCAAACCGAAAAAGGGGGAATCTCCTGATGCTCTCGTGAGGACAGAACCCCCAGCTCTGCCCACAGACCAGCGGACACAGCTGCACTTTTCCTCCTCCTCCTCCGTGCCACTCCTGGGAGCAGCAGCGGCGTGAGCGCGACACGTCGGTTCTCCCCACCCGAGCTGATTTTTAATAAAGGCATTAAAAAGGAGAAAGATCTCCTGCCCTATTTATTTCACCACCCGTCCCGCGGGGCTCCGGGGGTCTCTCAGCGCGCACCGGTAGAGCCGCTCCACGTCTCCGAGGCAGATGGCGAGCGGCTTGGCTCCGTTCCGCCCCTTCAGGCTGTAGATGCTGCGCACGGCGGCCGAGTCCTGGGCCAGGCAGGCCACGCCGTACACCGTGTCCGTGGGCACGGCCACCAGCCCGCCCGCCTGCAGGGCACCGGCCGCGGCCGCCACCGCCTCGCTCCACTCAGCGGGGCCCGGCTCCCGCCGCCAGCGGCCGCAGCCTGCACCCTCCGGTGCGGCCCAGCTCCCGCCGCCGGCCCAGCCTGCGCCCTCCGCTGGCTCCCCGCGCGCTCCCTGCGGGCCGGGCCGGGCCCCGCGGGCGGGCGGCAGCAGCACCAGGCGGGCACAGCCCGGTACCGGTGCCGGCACCGGGGCCAGGCCCGGGCCCGCCGCTCGCTCCGCCGCCAGCGCCAGCAGCCGCGCCGCCCGCGCCATGCGGCGGCACTTCCGGCGCGCGGCAGTGACGCCATCGCTTGGGCGGGGCGGGGCCGGCAGCGCCGTTGCCATGGAGACCGGGGGCGCGCGGGAGCCGAGCGCGGGGCGGAGCGAGGCGGAGAGAGAGCGGAGAGTGCGGAGAGGGGACAGGGGGAACGGGGGGACAGGGGCATCGGGGGGACAGGGAGGGGACGGGAGCGGCCAGGGGGATCAGGGGGACAGGGAGGGGATGGGAGTGGCCGGGGGCTCCGGGAGTCCGGAGAGGAGACGGAAGGACAGGGGGAGAACGAGAGGAACGGGGCGGCCAGGGAGATCGGGGGAACAGGAGGGAACGGAGGAAACGGGAGCAGCCAGAGAGATTGGGGGTTTAGGGGGGAACGGGAGCAGCCGGGGGCTCCGGGGGTCCGCAGAGGGGACGGGAGCGGCCAGGGGCATCGGGGGGACAGGGAGGGGACGGGAGCGGCCGGGGACATCGTGGGGAACGGAGGGAACGGGGTGACCAGGGGGATCGGGGGGTCCGGAGAAGGGACGGGGGGACAGGGGACGAACGGAGGGAACGGGAGGGTCCAGGGAAGGTTCCGGGGGCGACCGCTGTCCCCGCCGTCTCCCCGCAGGTCCCGGACGGCCTGAGGAGGCTGCGGGAGCTGCTGGAGCTCCGGCAGCGGCAGCTGCGCTCCCGCATCGCCGCCTGCGAGGAGCTGCGGGCGGAGATGGCCGCGCTGCGGGCGGCGCTGAGCCCCGGCCCGGCGGGCGGCGCGGGGCCCTGAGGAGCCCCGAAGGGACCGAGGGGTTTGGGGCTCCGGGAACGCCCGGGCGGTGCTGGGGGAGCGCAGGGAGCGGTGGCGGCCGGGCTGCCCCGCCGTGGCCTTGGAGCTCGCTCGGTATCGCCGCGCTCGTGCCTTATCGCAATAAATTCACACTTTAGAATAAAGCGAGACGGGCTCGGTCTGTACCTCCCCACTCCCGTGTGCTCCTGAGGAGGAGGCACAGCCCCAGCACCCGTGTGTCCCCAGGGCTGGTTCTTCCCTGGCCGCCCGGGGAGCGGGGCGAGCCCGAGCCAGAGCTCGGCGCGAACCCCGCGGAGCTCGGCACGGACCCCGCGGAGCTCGGCACGAACCTTGCAGAGCTCGGCACGGACCCCGCGGAGCTCAGTACAGACCCTGCGCTGTTCCTGGCCCCTGTTCTGCCCCTGCCGAGCCCGGCCCGCAGGCAGAGAAGCCGAGAGAGCCGAGCAGGAAGCGGGGATGGAGGGAGGGCTGCGATGGGAGAACCCCCAGCTCTGGGTTTCAATTCCCACCCGCACCTCACCGCACCTGAGCGGCCAAGCTGGGCCAGTGCTGGCAGAGGAAAGAGGGTGAAAAGGCAAACGCTGCCTCTTTCAGGGTTGGAATTCCTATTCCTGATGGGACAGGGCGGGATGCTCACACTCCTCTCCCACAGAATACTCTCAGGAAAAACTATTATAACACAATGTTTAAATAAGCATTTAATTAGGATTCCATTAGTATTAATATTGCTTTCAATTCCAAAAAGGTTAATTTCCACTTCTTTGCAGATATTTCAAAGTACAATATTAACTTCATACAAAATGAGCAATTAAGCAAACACCATTATTTCACATTCTTCAAAAAATACAAATTCATATTTACTCTTTTGGGTTTTGGAGATGCTCTTCCTTTGGAAGTACTGTACCTGTAACTAACATCTTCACATTGCTCAATGTAAGCACATTTGTTCCCATGTTTCAGAGTTAAATAAATTCCTTTATCACCATACACACAATCTTGAGAAACTGGGGTTTAGTTCAGCTGTCTCCAAAGCCCCAGGCAGTGCAGCCCCCACAGCCCCAACAGCTCAGGTGGAGCTGGAGCTGCCCCCGGTGTGGAGCCAGGCTGGGGTTTAGGCTGGGTGAGGCAAAACAGAGCAGGGTCAGCCCGAGCAGCAGGAGGACAGGAGAGTCACAAACCAGGAACACCAGCGACTGCAACTACAGCACTGCAAACACACCCTCGAGTCTGCTGGAAAAGGTCATGTGAAAAAAATCTTTCTTTAAGAAAAAGTAGAAACTGCATTTATTTGAGAAAGTGTACACTGCATAATGAACCAAATTTTGGCCAGCTTGCACACCACTGCAGCATGGTGTGGGGTTTCACCTAGTTCCAAAAACACACACTTAGACTATGTACACTACTACATAAATATCCAGTTTAATTTGCATTTCTCAGTGCAGACACAGAATCCAACTTCTAGAACATGTGATAGATATCAAGACAAGACACAAAAAAGTTAAAAGTTCAGCCCTGTCCATGAGAATTGACTACAGGTAACATTTATAAAAACTTGACATTGCTTCCAAAATATGTTACGGAAAAAATAGTATACAATTAAAAACTCTGCAGTCAGAAATTCATAGGGTTTATTAAAGACATGCTCTTCTTTTTTGCCTTACAGTCCAAACTGACTCCAACAGTTCTGCCCAGCTAGCTCAGGGAACTCCTGCCAAGAACTTTTCACCCACAGATCTCAAATAATTTCAGAGCCGCCACCCTGGCCCGGTTCCGTGGGGAGGATCCGAGGCAGCGCGAGGCTCCGAGCCCTGCCTGGTGTGGAAGTGATTTTGTGACACCAGAGCTCCCCTGCTCTGCCCCACTGACCCAGCTCCTCACCTCAGAACAGCCCAGCAGCTGCTGCTCATCTCCAATCACCCCAAGGACAGCTCCCCTGGGTCAGCTCCATGCCAAGGACCCAGCTTATCTCAGAGCTGGAAACAGCTGCAGCTCAAGGACAACGTGGATGGCTACAGCCATGCCACCCCCAAGAAATAAGGCAGTAACAGGACATCAGAAACCATCTTGAAGACAAATTTCAAAGGTGCAACATTGCCTGTTTGAAAGCAGCTTGTCACTTGTGTTCCCACGTGGGTGACAGGACGAGGACAGGGGAAGGAGGACGCACATCAGGGGACACAGCATGTCCAACAGGAGTGACAAGCAGCCCCCAGAAAGCGTGAGAGAAAAGGCTGCTGAAGCACAGTGCTCTCAGAGGGTTATTTGCATAGATTGGGCTAACGATGCATAATTGGTCTGGGGCAGGGGGAAGGGCAGCACAGCACCCACCACAGCTGTTCTGTCAGACAGACACACAGACCACGCGGCACAAGGATCTTTAGCTACAGGTATTGCACCAAGTTAAGTGCTCATCTTTGCACACCCCTGTCAACTTTTACTCAGAGCAAAAATAAACTTTGTGAAAGTATATACAAAAGAAATTGCAGCAATTGGGTTAAAGATAAAATAACCTAAAGTGCATTTTTAGATACCAGTATGAGGTTCTGCAAACTTGTCTTCCTGGGGACACTCAGCATTACACGAGTGTCCAACTCGTACTTTGTTCCATGTAATTCAGTACCAGCATTCAATCAGTGCTGATTTACCCCCCCCACCCCCCACCCACAAGCACAAAAAGCAATTTCTCCAACCTTCAGTCTGCTCACTTGGGTCCTTGCTTGGTGACCAAAGCTACCAAAGTCAGTAACTCGACCCTCTCTACGTATTTGAGCTTCTACACCCACCTAGAAATCATGAGTGACCAAGTAAACCCCACTAGCACAAAACTGGTGACCTAGAGCAGTGCACTTTTGCTCTCTGACTGGTAATTAAAGGGGTTCATGCAGACTTTGTAGAGGCAGGCATGCTGTTCCCAGAGACTCCAGCACATGAACCCTTTTCTGGGAATCCAGGGCAGAAACTCTCCCTTTCATTAACCATGTAATAGTGAATATGCTAAATGCTGGGGCAGCAAGGACAAGACAGGAAAATCTCTTGGCCTTGCAGAATCTCAGGGCTTTGCTGCAGCTGCCCTTGGATCTCCTTCCATCCCAGCATGGCACAGACTGCCCTGGAGCACAGTCTGATCACACACTACTGGGGACGATGCAAATGTGAAAACATCTCAGACACACACAGCACAAACACTCTGGAAAGCAGATGGACAATAAACAACAAAAGCACACACACCTGTAAAACACAGTGGATGCACAGCCCGTGTGCTCACAGCATCACATGCTCCTGCCTCAGTACAAGCTCTAACCAGTTCCACCTGAATTGCAGCCTGCCTGATGCATGTATAAGAGGGCAATGGCAAACCCAATGCACCAAAGAATTAGCAGCACATAGTGCTTTTCCTGGAACACAACCAAAAAAAAAAAAAAAAACCCAGTAGCTGTGAAGAGAAACAGCAGAGATTGACCCTGGGCACTGCTGCCCATCACTGCAGCTTCACATTGAGCTTCCCAGTTCAGAGACTTTGGTAGTTTCTTCTACTCATTTCAGTCACAAAAGAGTTTCTGAAGATGCTCTCTGGTCCAACCAGAAGAGTGTTTTAGGTTGACTAATTCCTAAGTAGCAAAAGTAAAAAAGCCTCCCTGAAGGCTGCGAAGGCTCAGAAGCGGTTGCTAAATCGCCCAGCTGTCACAGTGCAGGCCACATCTGGGACCCTTGTCCCCCATCAGAGGTAACCCCACAACTGCTGGGGAATCTCCACACTCCTGCATCAGGCACACACCCACACCCACTCACCCTCGAACACCACAGCTGCACTTGGCCAAAGGAAATGCCCGAGGCCACAGTGAGAGGCACCAGAGGGACCCCCAGGCAGCGCTCGCTCCCCTCTCAGGTGGAGCTCTAGGCAGAGCAGCTGGCAGGAGACTCCTCTGCGAGGACAGTCCCAACCATGCAGGCCTGGGACTGTTTTTTGTGTTCAAATCAGTTCTTGCTGCCATGCAACTCAACTGCAGCACAAAACGAAGCTGGAGGAGAAAAGCAAAGGAGCCACCACCTCACTGCCCTCCAAGGATTGCCAAGACAGGAACAAACCAAGAAATGCTTTGTAAACCTGTTGTGTGGATGCCAAACCTTGTTGCTGCACAGCAGCCCTGCCACACACACCCAGAGGGAACACCACCAACACGTGTGATGCCCTCGAGTTCATCCCTGGCAGCCCCGAGCTCTGTGCCCTGGCACAGACACTGAGTGCTCCTGGCACACTGGACACTCACAGCACACAGCTCTTTCCCCTCTGCAGCTCACCAGAAGCTGTGCAGGAGGGGAAGGCCAGCTCCCTTCAGCCCCTTTCACCCTGCCTGGGCAGTGCATTCTCAGGGAACAGCACGAGAGGAGGCTGATCCAGCCTCAGTGCTGGCCAGGCTACGCTGAGCATGTCACAGGAGGATTGAACACCTGCTGATCACCAGGGTTCTCCCCTCCCCAGAGGTACAGAGAGCAGCTCTGATCAAACACAAAGAGTGAAAGATCTCTATCCACTACAGTTTGTATTCCTAAATTGAGTGCAGGGACACTCCCTGCTAATTGGCTTACAGTCATTATCTTTGTATCTCACTAAAGACAACACTGTAAACTGAATAAAGACTATTTAATATTCTTTTCCTTTAACACAAGAAAACTGACAGCCAAAGCCAGAAAGATGGATAAAAACTATAAAATTACATATTTTAAAATAATGCAGCATAAATAAACCATTTAGAATGAGACTGCATTTATTGCAACATTACAGGCTTTTTGGTGGAAGGGGGGGTTTGGATTTGATTTACCCTGAGTAGGTTAGAATATAGACTCTCAGTTTGATATGAAAAACTATTCTGTTGAGTAACATCTTTTAGTCAACAAATAGCCCCGTGCACAAAAAGCTGGCATTGCAGCAGGCTGGAGGCAGAGTCAGGCAGAAATTATATAGCTCACTGGAAAAAAAAAGAAGCATGTATGGACAACTGAAGGACAGACTCACTGAATTCCAACTGAATTTATGTTGACTCTTTCCCAAAATTTTTTTAAGGGTTGTTCTTCACAAAAGATGAGAGTAACCAGCAAAGGCACCGTGCTCCTGATTCAACAGTCCCAGGGTTAGGATGATGACTTGTTGCTGAACAGAGCCTAAGAAATCAAAAGAGCAGCAGGCACCAACCTGACCACACCTGGCACTCACTGCACCCTTTGGAGAGGCCAAGACAACAGACTCTGGAGCCAGAGCCAGCAGCAGCTCTGACTGTGCTTCCATGTTGTGACACAGTGTCTGCAACACACTTGAGTCCTAGTGGAATTAAATGAACAGATCTATTCTGAAATAAACTCCCCCAAAGCTCCTGGAGGCTTCAGTAAGAGCAGCAGTACACAGCAAAACCAGGCACCAGCTCCTCATCAGGTATGTGACCATCACATTCAAATCACACTGCAGATAAATCCACTCCCCCAGCTATGCCATCTCCTCCCCCACAGCCTCCTTTCCTGGGCTCCCCTTTAGTGCATGGTTAGTAGAGACATGAGAGACAGGAGAAGATTAGAGACCCAAGAAGTTGTAACAAAGACCCACTTGCTGCCAGTACCTTAATCCCAAACGTAAGTGATGTGCAATTGGAGACAAAGTAACCCCCCTTTTCCTTTTAAAAATCTTTTTGCACACGAGTAACCTTAACTTCTGTGTTCACATATGACAAGCAAAAGTGACAGACAGTGCAGCCAAAACAGTTCATATATAACTTAGCTATTTCTTTTTTTTTTCTTTTTTTTTTTTTTTACCTTTTCTTTTTTTAGATAGAATCTCAAAGGTGGATGTACCTGGGACGTGACTAAGATGACATCCGTGAAGCAGAAATAAGCCACAAAACTTCCAAAGAGGAAGGAATAAGAATCGATCCTTCAGTTTCTGCTTCTAAGGAGAAGGGTTTTACCCTCCAGGTGCAAAGGAAAATCTGGAACATCTTCACTTAGAGAAGTTGCTATTCAAACCAATTTCTTCCTCACCCTGCAGTAGTGCTTCAATTGGAATTATATTAGACGGGGTTTCAGGGCTTTGGAGGGACAGGAAGTCCGATACATCCATGGCACTTAAAGTTTCAGTCTGGGAGTCTGAAGGGTTAACTATCTGACTGCTCTGCCCACAAGAAGGAGGAGCAGAGGAGGAAGGAAAGGTCTGAGGCTGCAGCTGGGAAGCTGGCTGCTCCAAAGCTTTTGAATCAGGTGAGGAACATTCCTTCTTCACGGCGGAGGTGGCTTTGTCCTTGGCAGAGTCTCGGCAGGCACACTGGCACTGGCAGGCCTCCTCCTGCTTGATAATGATAACAGGAACACTGAGACCAATCTGCTGAACAGGGCTTCCTGAAGGTGAAACAAAGAAAAAAACACAATGGAGCTACATCATTTCACAGCAGGGAGAGAGAAAATCAGCTCTGTTCAATCAATTAGTTCAGTGTCACGCTTACCTGTGTTACCAGCTACTGGTAATGCAGTGGTAAAAAACACCTTTTCTACTACTTTTGGAACTTGTGGCTTTAAAGAAAAAAAAAAACAAAAGAAAAAAGTGTGAATTGACTCAAATTAAATTTCTGTTGTTCAAACTCTAAACAGCTATATACATATTCTAAAGAGACACACAAGAAAACTGGGCTCATTGTTTCAGTGGTCCTAAAGATTTGGCATAACATCCCCTGCATTATTTGCTGTTGAACTCAGCTTGTGGGTTTTGACAATTCAATGACTGAATTTTTAAACATTGCTCTGTGTACCTGCAGCCACTCACTCTTTAGCTGAGAGCCTGAAGTGGCACCAGTATTGTCAAAGAGAAAACTCCTGAAGTTTCAGCTATCCAGATTTACTGGAAAACCACAAACATTCTCTTTCCAGAAAATCTCTTTTCATTATCAGTCAAAATTAGGCAGAGACAGAGATTAAAAAATGCCTAAACACAACCTTTAGAGTCTTTTGTGTTTCTATGCATTAAAAGCAATACATTAAGGCCCATGTGTATCCCTGTCCTGGATAAACACACTGACACCTGCTGGCAGAAATCCCCACGAATAGAAAGAAGAAAAAAAAAGATCTTTTTGCACCCTGTGCTCTAATTATTTCCCTGTCTATTCCAGGGGCTGCACTGGTGATGTGTACACACATTAACATGCCAAGCATTATACCACACTGCATCCTGGGGTTTATCTTACAGGTTTGACCCCCTCCCTTTTCAAAAGCAAGAGCTCCAAAGCCCTGCTGGATGTACTGACCATTTGTTCTTGGCTTTGTGGGGAACCAGTGGCACCATTTAAGATCCATTGTAAGTTCTGCTCTCCCATGACAATGCTGGGCTGCAGAATGGCGGTGCTTGGAGAAGGAGTAATGGTTATAGTGGGGTTACTGGTCAGAACAGGGTTTGCACCAACAGGCACAGTCTGGACTACAGCTGGCAGGGGCTCAGTGGCACTGGGGGCTGTCGGGGCAGGAGCCCCAGCTACCACTGACAGTCCCTGAACGATGGGCTGTGGTGGAGGCTGGCTGTGCTGCAGGAAGTCTTGGTGACTGGCTGCAAACGGTGTGCTGTGAGGAACAGGCACTTCTGGGGATTGTAAAACAGTAGCAGGATTCCCAAACGCAGCTGGCTGTGAGCTGGGCGCGATGGAGGAGGGAGCAGCAGGGGCTGCCGAGCCTTGCAGCGCTGCCTGAGCCGGCTCGGGGAGGCCGAGCTGCAGGACCAGGGGGAGGGACAAGGAGGCCGCGTCTGCTGCTGGGGGCGGGACCGCAGCCACCGAGTCTGCGTTGCCGTTAAAGCCTTCAATCAGCGAGGCTGCTGAAAGAGAAACAGAAAAAATATAAATACGTCCCTTCTCATTAGGTCTGAATGAATTGATTTTTTAATGAACTCATCAGCTAGCTGATGGATTTTTGCCAAGTAAAGCATTACCACGTTCCTAACTTCAGATTAGTGCTTAAAAACAACCCTAGCAGTGAAATCTAAAAGTAGCTGCAAATTCAGGAAGTTGGTAACACTGGGCTCTACACTGAGCCTGACCAGGCTGATCAGCTCTCTCTGATAAGCCTTTTATCAGTTGTGCAACAACGTCAAGAAAACAGGATGATGCTTGAGAGCTCCAGTGCCAGCACTGCAGGACAGTGTGCTGGGTCACCTCCCCATCACTGAGTGTCACTCAGTCTGTGCACACCATGCATTCCAACACCAATGAATTTCAACCCTGGAGTTAAAGCTCTTTTTGCTTCTTAGAGTTATGCTGGGCATTAAGCTTCAGTCTGAAATGCTGAATTCAGTACATGCAGTGCAGATGCAAGTGGTACCTGTCTGCTGAGAGTCATCCTGATTTGCAGTGTGGTCTGGGCTCTGAAACATAGACTCAAAGATGCTTGCTGGTGAGATTGTGCTGAGGTCCTGTCCATGTGTCTGACAAACAGAAAACAAAGAGGAAAACGTCAGACAATGTTGTATCTCAGGTCTCCACAAACCCCAGGCAAGCAGTGTGTGCATGTCAGAAACACTCCTCCAATGCACCAGCCACCCTCAGGAATAGCAACACCTATTGCTTACATGCTGTAAATTTACCCCCAGTTTTTACTACCTGTAATCAAATTTACCAACATAATGAGCAACCCCTACAAAAATAAGTAACTTCTTCAAAAGTAAAATATATTCCTCTGCATCCACTCTTTGTTTAACCCTTATTTCTTGCAGTACTCCATCAGAAACAGACATTAATTGGCTGCTTGCAGAACCCTTTCATATCCTGGACTATGCAATTCTAGCCATCCACAGGAGCAGAATGCACACAGGAGCTGCACTCTGCTCCCACAGCACAGCACAAAGAACAACACATTCTCCTCAGCATCTCATTTTCCTCTATGTAAAATCCAAATTCAGTCAAGACTTATCAAGAAGCAAGAACATTGTTATGGTAAAATCATATGCAGAGCTTCCTATAGCAGGTTGAAATAAGCACTGCACATTTTGGAGGACAAAAATCAAAAGTCAACGAGGATGAGGCAATTCCAGGACAGTAACTCACTGGATTAGAGTTCTCCCGCAACTCTGAATCTGTTGAGATGAGGCTTAAATCACTCAGACAAAGTGAGTGACTTGTATCCTGTGAAAAAAGGAAAACAATTTGAATTATGTATTAAAAGGATAATGTCAGAAATGTTTTAAATTACTTTTGAGAGTCTGTGCTTTGCTTATATGGGACCCAAGTCTCAGTTCTAAAATCAAAGGAACAATATTTTTAAGCAAAGGATATTTAGCAGCTATCAAGGATTCTTAACATCTCAAAGTACTTCCAAAAAAGCCATATAACCCAGAATTTTAAATTAGCATAGGAACAAATCAACTTTTAGAAAACAAAAAAAATTAAACCATCCCAGTTAGTATTTGAAAACCCTGGTTTTAAATGTTACACCTTAAGAACAAGCTGCAGACCAAATGATTTCTCCCCCAAAGTATAGTTTATACCCACCTAACACAGACACATTAAGCAGAAGTGCCACTAACCTCAGACACATTGTTATTGGGAAGTGCATTATAGGTATGTCCCTTCTCATGACCTTTCATGTGACTCTTGAGACTGTACTGGGTGCTGAAAGTCTTCTCACAACCATTGCTGGGACAGAAGAAGGGTTTCTCCCCTAGAGGCAGCACAGAACACATTTATCAGACTTTAAAACATCCTATCAGACACACTTTTAAAGCACTGGCAGAGCAGTATTTCATACAAACAAAACATTTTCTGCCCCATCACACACTCAGCATTCCTGGGAGTCCTGCAGGTGAGTGTTTTCATCTCACCATGGGAACTGACACACAACACAATATTTAATTCTTGTGCATCATTACTGGTACATTTGTGAAAATACATTCATTGAATTCAAGACCTGTCAAGCATAAACATAACTGCATAAATGGAAAGTTTGGATTGGCCTGGTGCAGGAGTTTGCACTTGGCCTTTTTAAACTCATGAGGTTCATTCACATGGGCACACCCCTCCAGCCTGCCAAGGTCTCTCTGGATGCCAATCCCTCCCTCACAGGTGTCACCTGAGCCACTCAACTCAGTGTCACTCTCAACTATAAATTCATATTAGGATTCTGAGAGTTAGTATAAACTTAATAAGCTCAATTAAACAAAATAAATTAAAAAAAAAAAACAACCCATAGAACTTACCAGTATGTGTTCTAACATGTGTTTTGAGGTGGTGGCTTGCAGCAAAAGCCTTCCCACAGCCATCATGCTCACACCTGAATGAGGCATCACAGGAGAGTCAGCATCAGCCCCCTTCAATGCATTAGCTACAACCTTAAATCATGCTTTGCAGTAGTCCCAGACTCTAAAAAGCAGGCCCAAAGCTAAGCTCTGTTAGCAACCAGCTATCTCCCAGCAGCTGCTGTGCATGCTGTACACATGCTATCATAGCAAGGCTCTGAGCAGGACTTTAAAATCCAAGCACAAAGGCAGCATTTGGGGTGTCTCCTCCATGGAATATACACTGCACCCCAGCAGAGAGCAGCAATGTGTTTTAAAAGATGCTCACCATGGCATAGGTTTGTGTTTAAAAAACCACCTTAACTATTCTTGCTTTTTAGGATAATCACTGCACCCACTGTTGAAGGAAACTGGGGGAGCTCAGAACAAAATGGAGAGAACAAAAAGGCTCCAATGCCAGCCAGCCACCTTCACTCACTTCTCAGGAGATCACCACTCCATTCAGAGCAGTACCAGCTGCTTTCTGGCACAGGTGCCTCATTACCTGAGCCACAGGAGCCAGCACAGCAGCCAGCAACTCACCGAAATGGCTTTTCTCCTGTGTGTGTTCTGATGTGCTTCCTCAGGTCACTGTGCGTTGTGAAGTATTTGCTGCAGCCTTCTGATTCACAGTTAAATGTTTTCCCTGTGTGAAGCCTTTGATGTGCTTTCAACCTAAAAAACATGTCAAAAAAATCCATCTTAGGACTGGTAGGATAAGACAGACCTGGCCTGAGGCAAGCAAGGCACTCTTTCAGATGTGCAGGACAGAATCAAAGACAGAATATTCTGACAGGAGGTAATGAGCTCATGGAAGTGACTGCTATCAGTTCCAAAGTCCTCCAGCAAGGCTGAGAGACCCCTGTGTTCATCCACCACCTTCAATGCCATTGGAATACAAAGAAGTGACCACAGTTCTGTCATCCTACCCTTTGGACAGCATTGCCACACTTGAAGGGTTTAAATGAGGTGTTTATTTGCACCTGTACATGGAAGAGGCAAAACAATCATATTCAAACATAAACACAAAGCAGATGGAACCTGCAGAACAGCAACAGCCACACCTACAAGAAAATTTGCCAGAGCCTTCTCACCTGGAGTACTGAGCACCCTCTCACCTGTACAGTGTGTTGAACACCCTCTCACCTGTAGTGCTGAACACCTGCTCACCTGCACAGTGTGATAAACATCCTCTCACCTGCACAGTGTGATAAACACCCTCTCACCTGCACAGTGATAAACACCCTCTCACCTGCACAGTGTGATAAACACCCTCTCACCTGCACAGTGTGCTGAACACCCTCTCACCTGCACAGTGTGCTGAACACCCTCTCACCTGCACAGTGTGCTGAACACCAGCTCACCTGTACAGTGTGTTGAACACCCTCTCACCTGTACAGTGTGTTGAACACCCTCTCACCTGTACAGTGTATTGAACACCCTCTCACCTGTACAGTGTATTGAACACCCTCTCACCTGTACAATATTGAACACCCTCTCACCTGTACAATGTTGAACACCCTCTCACCTGTACAATATTGAACACCCTCTCACCTGTACAATATTGAACACCCTCTCACCTGTACAGTGTATTGAACACCCTCTCACCTGTACAGTGTGCTGAACACCCTCTCACCTGTACAGTGTGTTGAACACCCTCTCACCTGTACAATGCTGAACACCCTCTCACCTGTACAGTGTGTTGAACACCCTCTCACCTGTACAATGTTGAACACCCTCTCACCTGTACAATATTGAACACCCTCTCACCTGTACAGTGTGTTGAACACCCTCTCACCTGTACAGTGTGTTGAACGCCTTCTCACAGCCCTGCACATCACACTCGAAGGGTTTCTCCTTGGTGTGCACCCTGACGTGGATTTTGAGGCTGTAGGAGGTGAGGAAGGCCTTGCCACAGCCCTCCTGGTTGCACACAAAGGTGTACTCCCCCCGGTGGGTCTTCTGGTGCGTGCGCAGGTTGCCAGCGGTGCTGTAGGTGCGGGGACAGCCCTCGAAGGTGCACTGGTAGCGCTTCACCTGAAGGACAAAACGCTGCATGATTAATCATTTTTAATAATTTCTGGAATCCACACATGGATGTGGTCCTTTGATGCGGTCAGACAACAGATTTTGACCCCAAAGCCTGCCCAAAAAACTTATTGCTGCTTAATTCTCTGACAAGAAGATTTCTGCTGTGCTGTGAGAGGAAGGAGGGGCACATGGGGAAGCAGCTGGGCTTGCAGAACAGGAATCCAACAGAAGGGAAAAAAGGAAAGACATAATCCAAAATTTTTCTAGCCAAAAATCTGATAAAACAGTTGGAAAGAACATGGAGGAGCCATCACACCTGTCCACTACCCACAAATGTGGCACCTGCATTTTAGTCCAGTGCTTCCTGCAGAGCTACTCATTTGTGGAGCAGGGAGACAAAGGAAAATGCACTGTCACAATGCTCAAACCCACTGCCCTGTGTGCTGAATTCCCATCAACACCTTGAGCAAAACAGTTTTTACCATTTCCCATGCTCTATCCACCAGTCCATTCCTTGCTTCACTCTATCCCAAAACAGCCCTCAGGGAGCCTCGTTCTTCCCTTCTGTGGCTACTGAAACAGGCAGTGCCTGAAGTGTAATGGATCACACCAGGTCACAAGGAGACTCAAATACAGCTGTCACAGATTTCTCAGTAAGCCACTGAGATCCCCAGGACAGCTTCTCATGGAACTCCATTTGGTGCAGGCACAAGGGTTCATTTAGAAGCTTGTGCAAGTGGTGACACCTCATGAAATCTCATCCTCTTTTGTGAACCAGAAGGAATACACCCCTGATCTGCCTGAATAAAGTTATCCTCCACCATTAATTACCAGACTGATGGCATTCATTTGACTGTTAAAGTTCAGAAACCTCAACACCTCATAGTGATTGAGGAGCACAAGAGAGGACTTGGCAAGTCACACCAGCTATAAATCAAGTTCTGGACAGTTCTCCATAACAAAACAGAAATAGCTTCTTGGTTACTTCCAACCTGTTTTGTAAGGGACAAAACTGCCAGCAAGACTCCTTTAGGAAAATTCTATAAAGCTGAGTGATTTTATGTGTATCTGAATCCATGATCTCTTGTTGCTCTCACAACAGGCTGGCAATCACCTTCACCTTGACTCAGTACAACTTTCCTATTTGGAAAATGCTAAACCCTCCTGTGAGACACACAGGGCACAGAAATACCATAATGTGCTGGGTTTGGCTGGGATAGAGTTCATTTTCTTCACTTGCATAGAGCATGCTCTGGATTTGTGCTCAACACAGGCCTGCTGACACAGAGATGGATTTTTTTAATGCTTCTCATTCTGCAAGGGGCTGGGGGTACACAGGGAGTGGGGAGGGGACTCAGCCAGGACAGCTGACCCTGACTGCCCAGGGATACCCCAGACCATGTGATGTCATGCTTAGTATAGAAAACTGGGCAAGGAGGAGGAAGGGGAAACATTTTGTGGTCCCCAATCTCTGTTTGGTGTGTGTGTGTTAGGCTGAGCTCCTGCCTGCCAGGGGAAACAAGGAATTCATCCCTTCCTGTTTTCAACTGGTCACTCAGCATTCTCAGAGAAGGAAACAGTAATTTCATTCTAAGCAATGTCCCCTTAATTTACAGCTCAAATCAGGCAGAAATCCTTGGCCATTTATTACCACTGAACACCCAAGAACTGCAGCATGGTTACAGTGCAGTTAGGAAGTCTGAGGCAGCCACAACACAGGAGCACAGAGCAGAAAACACAGAGCAGAAAACACCAGCACAGAAAACACATTTTATTACATGAGGAGGGTGCATCAGCCTCCCCCAGGATCACCAGATCCAGTACAATTTGTGTATCAGGGCTGAAATAAATGTTCCTTGTTACAGCTTTAAGGCAGCTGGAAATTAACACTTTACACAGCATTTCCCATGGTACACAAGGGATCTGACACAGGCAGGAACTACCTGAAAATCAAGGGAGGGTTCTGTTAAGCTTTCCAGGTGTTTACATTTAGGTTTAGAAGAAAAAGGACAGTATTAATTACAGATTAAGCTGTTTGGTTCCCAGCTGTCACTGCCCATGTGGAAGGGAAGGTGGCAGCATCAGTTTAATGGCTGAACTCTGACAATGGCCTTGCAGTGCTCTCCCTCCCTCCAAGGCCAAATCTTTATTTCACAAATCCTTCCAAGCAGCAACATCATCACCACCTTCTGAGCAAAACAAACCTTTCTGTGAAGCACCACAGCATTGAATTCTCTTTTGACATCAGCACATCAACACACTGCACACTGTCCATACACACAAAACCACCAGAGATGGATCTGAAAGCCTCACAGGGAGCTGCAGGCTGCCCCAGCACCAGGGCACAACAGAAAACAAACAAAGCAGCAGAGGGCAAGCCCTGGGCAGGCAGGACAGGGCCCTGTGGCTTTTGGCCAGGGACAGTGAGGTGCTGCTGGAAGAGACATGATCCAGCATTCACCTCAGGAAACTCGTTGTGCAATAGGCAACAGGGCTGGAGAAAGCAGAGCCTCGCCTCACACCCTGGTTCAAAGTCTACTCTAACTGCTCTGTTTGCCTTTAACTCTTCCTGAGCTTGCCACCCTAAATGGCTTCATTTTCAGTGAACAAATAACTGGGTTTGAAATAAGAGACTGTAATCATGATTGTTCTTACCCACACACAATTACAGGGAAATGTACAACAGAATTTAAAAAGGCAAAGGTACTAAAGTGCAAAATCCCTTTTTAGCTTCATAAATGTCTAACGCTGACCTGAAAATCTGAGACTTTAAAACAATTATTTCAAGTGTTAAAATTGTCGCAGACATTTTGCAAGTACCAAAGAACTGTTAATTTTCAGAGATGACTCAGATGCTTGGGAGCTTTAGAGCTTTCCTTTCCTCACCTCCAGACAACTTATCAGACCCTTAAAACAGCAGCCAAAAAGGCCTTTCACATGTGCTCAGTGCCACTGCTTCCACATTATGGTGTCACTGCCCTCTGCTCTGGGAAATCAACTCCAGAAATGGAAAATAAATTCATCTAAAGCATTTCACTAGGAAATTCCACATCCTACAAGCCTTCTCTAAAATGTAAAGGTGAAAAAATGCAGTCAGTAACTGACAGCAGGAGACTCAAACAGGCTCACTGAACACACCTCAGCCTAGAAGCTCCCCAGCTGCAGATCTGACCCCCCCAGCCCCATTTCCCAGCTCTCAGCCCCACAGTGACAGCTCTGTGCTGAGTGTCACAGTCTGTGCCACCTGCACTCTTCACCCCTCACATAACTCAGGCAGGCCACAGAAGGAGCACTAAGCCATCCCTGAGCTGGTGTCACAGCCAAATTCCATTTGCTCTTGCATTCAAAAAGAAGAGTCCCAGCACAAGCCCTTCCCACTGTGCATCCAGGCAGAATTTATTAGGGAAACAGAATTAAGAGTAAACTCAAAAAGAAAGGTCCCAGGACAATCCCCACTGTGCATCCAGGCAGAATTCATTAGGGAAACAGAATTAAAAGCAACCTCAAAAAGAAGAGTCCCAGGACAATCCCCACTGTGCATCCAGGTAGAATTCGCTAGGGAAACAGAATTAAGAGCAAACTCAAGAAAAACAGTCCCAGGACAAGCCCTCCCCACTGTGAATCCAGATAATTCTGTTTCCCTAGTGAATTCTAAGAGCAAACTCAAATAGAAGAGTCCCAGGACAATCCACACTGTGGATCCAGACAGAATTCATTAGGGAAAAAGAATTAAAAGCAAACTCCATTTTAACCATGCAGCCTGACCTGAGCTTTCAAAACACATCAGCTTAAAGCTTCCATCTTCTTCTCACAGTCTCCCTGTGACACAATAAAACTACAAATAATTTAAAATTTGGCATCTCACATGTGGTACTCCAGCTCCCAGCAATGGCCTGGCCCTTAACTGTGACCTGAATGTGCTTTTCTTGAAAATGTGCCCAATCCAAACCAATCCCAGGTTGTTTCAGCTGCCTCTGAACTCACAAAACAACGACCAGAGCAGAAGAAAACCTGAAGATCACTAAAATGGTACACATCACTGACACAAAGGTGTGCCAGTGCCTCACCCTCCTGCCATCCAGTGTCACCAAGTGCCTTCTGGCAGGTTCCTAAGGCAGCAGAGGGTGTCAGAGGGAAGAGGGATGGCCCTGGCAGCTCTGCTGGGACACAGCTCTCCCCAGCACACTGCAAAGCTGGGGATGACAACCAGAACAGATTTACATAAAACTCCTCAAAAACGAGCAAAACCACTGCCCTTCTCATGAAAAAACAGCAAAACTGCTGCCCCTCTCCTGAAAAACAGCCCATTTTCAAAGCCTTTAAGGTGCACAAAGCCCAGAATCACGTTTAGGTACTCACTTCCTTCCTCTTGGTTTCTGGGCACTCAGACTGCAAAGTGAGAGTTGCTCCTTCGATGTTCCTTGGCATGGGAGTTGAACCAGGATTTATTGTTAGATGAATCTGATCTGGAGAAATAATGTGTTGCACGTAACCCTGTGACATCCCTTCATGATCTGCTATTAAATGAAATCCTTCTTCGTGACCCTCGGGTAAAAAAGGCAAGTGGTCACCACACTGTCCTTCATCCTCCTCATCCTCCAGCACGCTGTGGTCCTGCTCGATGAGCACAGTTGTCCTGTCATACACCGTCCCGGACGAGGAGGACACCAGCCCGTTTTTGTCAGCAAACCTCATCATATTTTCATCCTGGGCTAAATCGTCTTCCTCCCCTTCATAGTAGATGGCGTTGCCCTCGGGGCTGTTCTCGCCCATGGCTCCGCGCCTCTCACCGCGAGCTCCGGCCGGAACGGCTCATCTACAACACAACGATGGGCGGAGAGGGGGTCAGGCGGCTCTGCCGACCCGGCCCGAGCCCCGTTCCGCCCTCAGGCACAGCCCCAGCGCGGCCGGTGGCGGCGGGGCCGGGCCGGGCCGAGCGCCGCGGTCCCGCCCCGAGCGCGGCGCTCCCTCACCCGGCGCACAGCCACTCCCCGTGCCTGTGCAAACCGCACCGCTCCGGCTGGGCTCGGCTCAGCCCGTCCCCGCTCCGCTCCCCCGTCCCGCTCCCCCCCGGCCGCTCACCGGGTGCCGGCGGCGGCTCCTTCCCCGCCCCAGCGGCACCATGATCGCCGCGACCCCGCTTCCGCTTCCGCCCGCGCGCCGCACGCCGGGAGCGCCGCGCCCGCCGCGGGGGCTGACGGGAACGGGGAGGGCGGGGGAGCGCAGCGCCCCCTGACGGCCCTCAGCGACACCGGGCACCGCGCAAAGATCTTTTTATTTAAATAGCAAGGATTTAAAAAGTCTCGTCGTTTTAACAAGTTAAATAAAATACAGTGTAAATATCGGCTCTCGTATTTTTTTTTTATCTCGTCTACATACAGCTTATTGGGAAATTTTATGTACTTTACAGCGTGATCAGGTGTCAAACTGCCTGATCTTCGAAAGCAACAGATTGTATAAAACACCCTGATATCAAAAAAAAAAAAGTGCCAGTATAATGTACAAAAAAAAATATTTTTTACAGTAATTCAGTGTCTACAAGTCAGATATAACTGTGTCATGGCAAATCCTCTTCCCTGACGAGGAACTGGTGGATAAATTGCTGTGCTTTCCTCTTCTCTGCGATGTCGGGCGTGGGGTGGCCAGGAGGAGGCCGCAGTAACAACCCACCGAACACGCTGGCTGTGGGGAAAGCACATAAACGTGAAAAAATGCCTATTTTATCATTGGCTTTTGGCAAATATTCAAATGAATATTACGTGTGTTGTGTTAGAAAGTTATGCTGTATTTATTCTCTTAAGTAGTGTGTTAAATATAGTTTTAGATGTGAAAAATTCGTATTTTATCATTGGCAAATGTCCAAATTGATATTTATATGTGCTGTGTTAGAAATTATTGCTGTATTAATTCTGTATTAATTCTCTAAAGTAGTGTGTTAAATATAGTTTTAGGTTATAACAAAATGTTATAATAGAAACTATGCTATTTAAGATAATTTTTTTCTAAAGAAACGACTGGCAGCAAGGTAGCAGCCACAGGACACCTAAGTCTTTCAGAGAAAGAGAATTTATTGCCCTCTTATCAGAAGAAACTAAATTCTTTCTGCCTCACTCAGTCAGGTAGGATGCCATCAGGATTATGAGGAAGAAGCTGACACTGCCCAGACAGAATCCTGTGTTTGAATGGAATTTATGCATCATATATGAGATGTAGGAATATGCAACAGGCTGTTGCTTTTAAGGGTTAATCCTTTGTTAACGTGGGTCCTATTTCAGGCTCGTGCTGCCCAGAAAAAGGTACCCGGACTGTCTGTAACTCTTTGTTTCTATTGTCTCATATTGTCCTAATTCAAATTGTCCAAATTATTATTACTCTAATTGTATTACTATTTTATTACTATTAAAATTTTAAAATTTTAAAAACAAGTGATTGGCATTTTTCACACTCCACATCTCTGGGTTGCTTTCCCAGATTCCTGCTTTTCTGTGGACTATTTGCTAATAATAAAAGCACTACAAGCCACCACTGCACTCGGGTATGAAGTGTTTTGTGCAGCCCCTCTGAAGAGAGAGTTATTTTGCAGGCCTTACCAAGAATATTCACATCCAAATGGTTTTTCCCTGAGTTCTTCAGTAGCTCTCGTAGAAATGCCATCAGATACTCAAACACATTTCTGTGGAACACTGGTAGGTCAGCGATAATCTGAGGAGGGAAAAACACCAACATTTATATTGCAGACACAGCAGTGCCTTCCAGCTGCACCTGCCCCCAAAACCTCCCTGGATGCAGGTGCCAACAGCTCTTTATAACCTAAAATCACCAGTTACAGATTATTTCTACAAAGAGAGGATTAAGTTACTGAGAGCAAAACCAGGTCACTGGTGTAGCAGAGGCCACTTTGCCTGCCTTCCCCATGGAACTGGTGTCACCAGAGGCCACTTTGCTGCCCTCCCCCTGGACTGGAGCTGGTCCCTGGGGCAGCCAGCAGTACCTGGCAGCTCAGGCTGTAGTTGCTGGCGCTCTCCAGGCAGGAGCTGTAGAACCTGCAGCAGATGACAGGCTCAGGGAGGCTCTCCAGGAACAGCAGCAGGGCCTCTGCCACTGAGTGGTTGCTGCCCACTGCTCCAGTGGTTAAGGAAGAGCACAGCACGACCTAGGCTGGTCCTATTTCTGCTGAAACACGAATGAACTTTGGGTTAGGTGTCCCAGAACTCTGCCCACAGCTTTGGGTTGGTCCCCTGGCCTCCACACGAGCTGTTGGGCACTTGTGTCATTCATTGACATTGCCAGCACTCAGCAGAGGATGACACAGAGCCACGAGGAAATGCAGAGATCAGGGACCCCAGGAGGGGAGACAGCAGCTCAAAAATCTCTCTCAGTTTTGGCATTCTGGCATGGTGAGCCTTCCTGGACATCAGTCTAAAAGGATACAGAAAGTATCGTACATTCCCTTGTCCAAACAGTCTCGGATTTGTTCAAATTCAGATCTGAGGCCTGGCTGCTGAAACAGGTCCTCCTGCAAAGAAAACCCTGTATCAGTCCAAGGAAAATAGAAGAATTGTGGGCAAATACAGCATTGTCCTTATAATCTGCCTGGAAAGTCTCTCCAAATTGGTGGTACCACCAATTTGCTGATACCTGGACACATAGACACGGTCACTAGCACCAAACAGTGCAACCTGGGGCATCAGGACCCCTTATCTCCCATGGCCTTTGGCCAAACACACCCAGCTCGTGGTGACTGCTATGACCAGTATCTTCTTCAAAACTTAACCCAAAGCAAACATCTCGTTTTGTGTTTCCAGTGCCAACCTGCTGGGAAGCGTTGCGATTCAAGTGATCCACCATCATCCACAGCTCTTTTGGGATGTCCATGGGCTTTTCATCCTGGGCAGGATCATCACTCATGTCTACTGGCATCAGGGTCTGAGGGAGGGCAGTGTGGGCAGGAGGGAGACAAACAAAAGGTAGCTAGCCAAGCTCTTATTCAACTCGGCAAAAATACTTCACAAAGCTTATACCTGAGAATTGAGACTTCTTAATAAAAACAGACAGGCCTTAGCATTTAGTTTTAATGCTCTTGTGTGTTTGGAAGGGAATCTTGTCTTTAACTCACAAGTCTCCGAATGGATTCTGCTGACATGTCCTGGATTGGTTCCCTCATGTAACACAGTGTATGGATGGGAGACCCAAAGCAACTTGGCAAATAGTTGCCTGTTACGGATAGAAAATAATCCTTCCCTCTGACAAGATGCAAGACTAAGATATCTTCAAGTTTTTCCTCTCCAGAGTTTAAGCGAGTAGCTGTTGATTTATTAACAAACACCTCCAGCTCAACTGTGATCTCAGCATCTGCCAGAAGATGATAAAAAACCCAGACTCAGTTACAAGCAGTACGAAACCAACAGCCTGCAAAGAGGCACAGCACTCTCAGAAGTGTAGAGGGAACCAAGCCAGAAGGGGACAACATCAGCTCATGAACGTCAGACAGAAGGAGGAGCTCACCTGAGAGCAAGAAGCCCTTGCAGGGATTAGCAATCAGCCACTCCTTGCAGTAGGTCTTCTCATCTGGTTTGCTGATAAATTCAAACTGGCAGGGCACTTGGCCATTGCGGATTGTAAACCTCTCTACCTGCAGCTTCATGTATTTAACATCCTTAAAATGGATCTAGAAACAAATGTCAGTCAACATCATCAGCCAATTCCACCTTGCTGGAGCAGCAATTCCTGTTCTGTGGTTTAATTATTAAGCAGCAAGACAAGCAGATTAACCCCTTGCTCCCACCCCCATCTCCTCCAGGACTGCAAAGGATCACACGTGCATACTCTGAATGCCAAAGTCCTCTCCATCAGGGGACCCTTTAAAACAAATGCTGCCCTCAAATAACTACAATAAAATGGAGAATGAGATAGCTGTGGCCTCAAACGTCTCCTGGGCTTATCTTTATAGTCCCAACACACAAAGCAAATGCTGGTTTGTGACCTTCTCCAGACCCTTACAATTTTACATTTCATGTTTGAAAGCACAAGTCAGAGCAAGGGTCACAAACCACCTTTTACTTTCTCTCTTCCCACCTCAGGGAATGACACACCTTGTGTTTCAACCCTGGACTGTGAATGGAATTCACCAGCATCTAAATAGGAGCAAAGATTCCTAGGGCTGGCAAACAGAGAGAAGCTGGAAGTCAAAATATTCTACTTTTTGGAACCAGACCCAAGGGTCTAGGATCTGCTGGGGTCTGGGGTTGCTCAGTTCCCTCAGGGAGTGCTGGCACAGGACCATGCCCTACCTCTCTGCGGGACAGTGTCACCGAGGGAATGTTGGCATTCTCCAGCTTATCCAGGGAGCGCACGATTTCCTCAAAGGCTTTTCGGTACAGCTCTTCGTTCACAACCTTCACCTGAAAAGGACACACACTGCACCAGCCAGCACTGACTGTGCCTCTGCAGGACAGCTGGAACACAGCTGCAAACGTGGGAAGTCACTTGATTTTAGCAGCACACTAAAGTGTACAACACAGGGAGAGCTGTTAGGAGCACCAATCTCCAAGATCTTCTCATGATCCAACAGTAAAGGACCTTGCCATAACTAACAAGAGTCACTCAGTCACTACTGGATCAACCTTTTTTTTTTTTTTTCTCAAAAAGAATAAGAAGTTTGACAAGACACTACTGTGTTCCCAAAGAACACTGGCAATTATTCAGGCTTAACTGCAGTATCATTTACACAACCCCTGCTCAGTGTGGTCAACAATCCCATCTCCATATCTGACCCAGCCCACCTTTCAAACCACTGTTCTCTGCGGATGCCACAAAAGCAGGAGAGAGAAATCAGCACCCAGGGAATGAGGCCAGCAGAGTTACTTCATCCAGCACTGCCATGCTTACCCCAATGTCAAACACAGAGCTCACTGGCTTGTGGTCACTGAGCTTCAGAGCCATGTGGCTGCGATAGCTCAGCTGGGCAATGTTCTGCCCTTTCCAGAGTATCCGATCACACCAGGCTGGAACACGGCACTTCTCACTGAAACAGAGGGGAAAAATCACCTTTTTCAGGCACAGTGCAGATGCAGCAACAACACAGGGCAGAACTCTGCTCACACAGAGATCAGGCTTTCCTCCCATGGCTGGAGCTCATTT